CGATTAATACCGATTTAATTGTCCGATAAAATTTTTTGTCGTCGCGAAAAAGATCTCTCTCGGCTTTTTCACCACTGTCTAGTCCAGTCTTAACCGGCTTCGAAAGTCCCGCAATCCCACGTTTCATACATATTTTGAACGACGGCGGCAAAGGGAGTATTCCGCCACCCAGGAGTATCGCGCGGCACCGCTAAATATTCGAATCGCCATTCGCAATACAAGAGATTATTAAAATATTTAAACGAGTCCGTCGACCGGTCGTTACGATGGGAGATCTGTAGGGGAAGGCAAGGTACTCTCTCTCCTAACCCACACTGCCCCTTCCCCCGCGAGTAGGTTCTCAATTAAATGCTAACGAGCGAAGAGCTCTTTCCACCTGAATACTACCTCGCTGGAAGCTGCAGCACCTAGCCCGTTCTACTCGCCTCTCGCCCCTCTTTACTCTCTTCACATCTGTACCCCGTACACCCTTCGCGTCGTTTCCCACCTTCCTGTGTCGTCCCGCTGCCGCTCCCGCTCCCTCCCTTTTACACGGCGACATTGTTTTAACGAGACTGGGAACGTGCAATTTGTTCGTCCCGCGCCCGGCCCGTACCGTGCAGTTGCAGTGGTGAGAGAGCTGTGTTCGGCCGTTATACTTTGCCATGCACTCTCGCACTCTCCGCTCTTCCCTCTGGGCTTTCCTGTCGCGCTCGCAAAATCCGCCCTACTTGTTCCCAACGGCGCGCTCTTACGCGCGTGCATCAGCGCCGCATCGCCACTGCAGTCGCCTCATCCTATGGAGTGCCGTCCCGGCGTGAAATAATTCCTTTTTTTCCCTTTCTTTTTGAAAACTCGCGAACGCGCCGCACCGTTGCACTTGTTATGAGTCTCTTGACGCGCTGGCCGCGAAATTGCGAATAAAATTACGGTTCAGTTTGGACGCCGCTTCGTTAGTGTCTTTGCATCGCGGCGCGACCTCATCGACGATGAGAAAAATACAGAAAAATATGTTCGTTGTTATTATTCATAGTCGCAGCGTATGCTTCTCTCTGCGCGCTAAGTGCTGTTTTATCTCGCAAAGCAGAGATGGCCAAATTTCCGAATATTATCACCTGAAAGTAATTTTTTGTGTACCAGATAATGCACCTAATTTAAACAAAAAAACATTTATAGACTATTTTATCATTATTTTACTGTAATTGTACCATGAACGAAAAAAAACTCATATACACTGTAAAAAAAATTACATATATAATTCTAACAGTTATAGCGAGTAATTTTGAGATTCATCGGATCTGCTATTAAAGGTGTATATTTATGTGTAAATAAAGACGGATATTTATAACTTACAAATAAAATTATTCTTCTTTATAGTAATTAAACAATTTGCAAAAATAAATTTACAATTGAAATTAAAAGCTTTTATATAGAAATATTTAGATAATAATTTACCAATGAATTATGTACAATTTCTTTAAAGCTATGTTATCAATATGTATGAACGTAAAAATATAATATGTATATAATACTATTATGTTATATAGTATTACAAAAAGGACTTCGCATTAATTATACAGAAAATTATGTCCTGGTGAAATGAATTAGTTTCCACATATAATGTAGCTTACAATATGATGAACAATAGATATGATTAACATAAAGCTCAATAATGATAACAATATAATTAAAAAAGATAGATAGATAGATGAGAGAGAGAGAGAGAGAGAGAGAGAGAGAGAGAGAGAAGGAGAGGAGAGGGAGAGGGAGGGAGGGGGGAGGGAGGGAGAGAGAAAGAGAGAGAGTTCTAAGAGTCATACGCAATTCACGGACATAACTTATTTTGTCGTAAGATCATATGTCTTTTATTAAATCCAGGTAATTGCAAGTGGAGTATCGTACACTGTGTGTGTGTGTGTGTTATTTGAATGCTCAGCACTCTGTTTTTGGAAAAGAGAAAAAAGCTCTAATTAATTGTGTCAAATATGAATTATAAAGGATAGTTATTATTTAAAAAAATTTAACTAAGGGTAGTCTTTATCTAAAAGAATATTAACAATTAGATTCAATATTTTTTTTATTAAATCTCGGATGAGACAATAAAATTACTCGGTCAATTATGCTCATTACTGTGTCCCTCTTCTGTGAGAGAGGATGCTAAGATAAAAAATAAAGGGAGTAACCGGAAAACGTAGCATTATGATACCAATCAAAATTCTATATATTACGTTATTTTTATTTTTACTTATGATAACATTCAAAAAGTTTAACTTATCGTCTCCTATTTTCACCGTGATGGTAACCTTAGATGAACAAAATGAAAATTGTTAGAATATCATGTATCGAATCAGGTGGAGTGGTCAAAACGATGTCAATCATATATCTAAAGTAAAACGGTAAATTAAAACTCAACGTTTCTCGTCTAAGGGTCCTTGTCTCTAAAAAAAATCCTGTAGCACACCAGGTCTGCAATGATGGGAGACATGGGAGAATTGACACCTCAACCGAGGCACCTCAAATTTCTATTTATACAGTACGTTATTAAACTTGAAAGAAGTAGATTCTAAAACCAATCTTAAGATCTGTAAGAACTTATTCTCATGAATGTTGCAACTTTTTGAAATATGATATAGAAGATATATATATCCCAACTCTTAGATACACTTTGTACTGCAAGATCTGCTGAAACATTAGTAAACAGAAAATTAGGTCCAACGATATTAAAATAAAATTACTATCAACTTTTATAGACTTGATAATTTACAAACTGTTTAAAAACTCTTTTAATTATATTATTACTTGATGTAAAAGAGTCCTCTTAATTTTTAGTTTTTTCAATAATGTAAAAGAGTTCCTTTTAATTCTTTCTTCAATAATCAATAGTTTTTAAGCTGTAGTGTAAAAATTATGCTCACAGAGCATGTTTGATAGCTATCATAGTTTAAAAACTATTCATTATCGAGTCTTGTATCTACGATATCTTTTGTCCATTACATTATATAAGCTACATTATATATGAAAACTATTATAACTCATTTCACCTGAATTCAATTTTCTATATAATCAGTAAGAGTTTCTTTTGTACATTTATATAAAAACTATAAAATAACTACTGTTATTACATAATTTTCCGTTTAATATAGTGATATATTTACACAATTAGAGGTAAAAGTAAATACTAATTTTTATAAAAAAATACAATTTTACATATATTTTCTAGTATATATTAACTTATTATTTTCATTGTTTTATAATCTTCTACATTTTCAAATCACGCATACATATTTTTTAGACGATTTCCATATTTTCTTTCTGATAATAATAAAATTTTATTAAATAAACAAAGAAGATCATATTCGGTCAAAATCTTAATGCTCAATAATATTTTTATGTGAATTGTTACAATCTAATAAAATTTTACATTCAATATCTTTATAAGATCTTTCATACGCAGAATACGATTCATAAACAGATCAAATTTTGTCTATGAATGAAAATGATATCTCACAGAATTCTCGATTCATACATTATATCGAGGTAAGTGGCGCTCGTTTCATTTGTCAAATATAATCCGCGCATCATTAATGCGTTGGGAATACCTCTCGTATCGTACAACTGCTATGTTCATTATTAAAATCCGGGACACAGATTAAAGCAACCGATGAATAATTCAGCCGAATTATGAAGAATATCGACGCAACGAAATTCTCCGACTGTACGAAATTAAGCTACTCACGTCGATTTTACATTGTCATGTAAATGCGCTTGTGCATTGATCACAAGCGACATTCCTCGTTTTTACGCACTGTATACATCAGTGTAGATTTACGCGCCCGTGTGCGTGCTTATATGTGTGTGTTTGACGTTCCTGCGCGCGCGTCTATCTTCCAATATCGCGAAAACGCAACGGAACTTTTCTCGTAAAAGTCTTTATAAGATTTCTTGTAAAGGTTTCGAACTTTTCTGCCGCTTCTGATACTTATGTATATTTATGCATTATTTATCATAATGTATCTCGCGCAGTTTATGTATATTTCTGTTACCGCAAAGTCTCGGTAGCGAAGAAAAAAGAGAGAGCCGTACGATTACTATTTTTCTTGGCGAACTCGTGCGCATTCTGCGGCAGCAATAAGACTTCATCACCATTGCGAAAATGGAATAATTACAATCATAGATATGTAAAATTGTCGACATGCAAAATTTTATTATATAGTTGTCGCGTGATTATGCATTTTACATAGACGAAATGATCTATTTTCAATATTCGAAAAATTTGTAGTGGGTAAATTTTTTTTACGGTGCATTTTGCATTTTTTTTAGCTGTTGTTATTAGACGCACAACTGTTTATAAATTCGGGAACGTTTGCGGTTTTTTCGCATCTACAAAAAGTTAAGTATACTCGGTGAAAAAGACTAGAGAAACAAAAAAATTTTAAGAAGAAACGAAATAGAATAGAATTATATAAATTTATTTTTTATTTTCTACAATATTTTTTGTTTCTAAAATACATGAAATTGAAACTCAATATTGTTTCAATACTTTTATTTTACTTTGAAAAATTGTAGCCTGATGAAATATTATCGGATAAAATTAACAAAAAAATATGTTAAAGCAAGTCTTCTAAACTTTAAAATGTTTTTTTTTAATTGATGCGATGAGTTTTTGCAATAATATCGAATTCCTTGTATAAAATTTCATAATAAAATGTTTTTTAACTTTGACATTAAAGACTTTACAAAAAAAAGAGAAAAAATGTTTTTTATAATGTTCTCGACTCGCATAAATTTTTTCTAAAATTTTTTAAGACTTTTTAAATTTAACTTTTTGTAAGATATCAGAAAACTATGTGTTCTGGAACTTATAAACGATAGTGTTTATTAAAAAAATAATAATGTATTAGAAAAATAATAATGTATTAGAAAAATTGATAGTTTGTGAATAATTCTACGCGTAATTTGTGATAGAATGTCGTTTAATTCTTTAAGGAAACGCTACACATAATATATTCTACTTGTCAAGTTTTTATACTAGAGATTGCAGCGAATAAAAATTCCGAAGATACTTTGTCGGGTGAAACTCGTTTAATTTAAAGCCCCTCGGACATTCGTGAAACCTCTAAGCCGTCATCTCGTCTTCGTTGACGAATTCCCTCGGTGGGATTAGCCGCGACCTTGGAATGCGGCGTATTATAAAAATATCTCCGTCCCGAGAGAAAGCCTGTCTTCTCTCTGGTACATCGTCCCTGAAACTGAAAAAAAAATGCAATCTCGACCTCCTAGCGTTTTTACTGTCCGTGAAGCAATGCGCGCGTTTCTCTACCGGTGGAAAATTTCATAAACTCTTATATTTATGCGCGACATAAAAGAAAAGCATTTGTTTCTTATGCGTGGAATTTGATAAATTAAATAGGCCTGTATCTGTACAATGTTTGTAGCGTCGTACGTGTTTTTGCATGAGGAAGTTTGGCCAAGACATAAAAGAAAGCTAAGGAAAAATATAGGGTACAAACTAATTTTCTTAAAGCAATAATAGACTTATATCGGATTAAAACCAAATTTTGAGAATCCTCTATAAAAATTTTGAAATTAAAGCTACAGCTAATGTGTAATGCATTTCCATAATGACACATGTATACAAAATTGAAATGCTTTATAGTGTATTAAATATAACTTAATCTGTTTCTTTCTCTAATATCTACATAGTTTGCAACACGATCCTATAATGTGACAAAAAAAGAACAGCCATTAAATCATTAAAACCATAATACTTTTTTTACTGAACGCAAGATCTTAAACAAAGGTATTATAATTATTATTGAAAGAAATATTTAAATAACTTAAGAGTTTTTCATTTCTCGCGTTTTCCCGATCACCTCGAACAATCGAAAAGTGCTTTACCGAATTATGGTACCAGAAACTGCCGAATAGAGGTGAGTAAGAGGCGAGAGTGGATACACTAGAGTTAAATTTTAATTTGCAACTAGTTAAAAAGTTAACGGAAGCGGAGTGCTCGTTGGCGGCGCGATTATAATGTAAGAGGAGCGAAGTTCTCTCGCGGCTTATATAAGGCATTCTCTTCCTTTTGGCGAAAGACATCATTCCCTTCATTTTTTTTCTTTAACTAAGATTACGTAAACGTCGCAGAAATTCGCGTCAATTCTAAGTTTTTCTAAAATTCTAAAATTGTTCTTTAATGTGATGTCAAATTTGTTATCTAAGAATCCTTTGTGAATCTAAAAAGAGCTGAATTAAAAACGAGATATAAAAAGAAAAAACGTGCTTTGCTGCGAACCGATAACATAATGATATAACTGCAATAATTACTTGTGACAATGGCGAATAATGTAACGATGCGTCGAATGTCTCTTTGCATCTAATAGACGCTGGAACGACCTGTTTCGCTTACTTTTCTTCCTAATTGGTCTTCACCGTCGCGTGATGGTTAGGAGTATTCTCTGAATGAGAATTGTACCGGTGTCTGGTCTTTGTAGTGCTACAAAAAGCAATGATATCTTTATTTTATAAATGCATACAGAACATCTGTATTCATGAATATCGTAGTTGATCCAAACGTATAGAGAAAATCTTTTATTAATTTACAGGAAACAAAACTGCATTAATAAAGATTTTTTTTTTTTGTGACGTTGTTAGTGACGTTTTAGTGACAAAAGACATCTCGTAGTTTTTAGATTGCATTTATAAATTTTAATATATCGCTCCCTTACTTCGAAAGTGACATAAAAACGTTATTTTCGAGCTATTATTACCATGAGTGAGTTAAATAAACACATTATCCTATCAATTATCAAAAGAAAAGTAACTTAACTTCATAAAAAAATTTCAAAATCGTTACAATTTAAAAAAGGATTTTTAAAGATAATATCATTTTTAGACCGCGTATGTGAGAGACACATCTTATTTATCGATTTTTAAAGAGTTGTGAAATGAAAATGACAAAATGACATTTGACAATGTTAAAAGCATTTTCTTTTTATCGATATTATTTAATTAGTCAATAATTTTCTGTCAAGTTAAAAAATCATTTTTCTCAATTCCCGAGAAACTTAATCTTTTAAGTTGTTATTTTTAAAGTAAGGGGGTGATTAAAAAATGTAGTAGATATTATTTACAATAGAGTCTTTTCCGAATTTTAATATTTTTTTCTTGCAATCTCGTTAAAAATTTTTGGCGACTTTAACAGTGCAATTATAGGGAGATAAAAAAATGTGTAACCTATCTATTTTCTTTAACTATTCATTTCCAATATAGCTTTTCGGATCTTCTGATATTACAAATATGTATAATATATATGGCTCTTAAAAGGGCCGAATTCACGATAGAACGTGTATTGGATTTATCTATAATATTAAATCTTTATCTTGTTAAATGTATGCGTATAAATTCAAGACAAGGATTTAATATTAACAATATACTAAAAATAACGGAAAATGAAAAGATTATAGACAGATCCCTACGCAAGGTAGAGCGTGTACTGAATATATTTATTATTCTCTGCTTTAATTACACAAATTATCTGCTTTAAAAACACAAAAATTATATAAGGAAATAATTTGTGTTTTTAAAGCAGAGAATTTGTGTATTTAAAGCAGAGAATTTATGTTTTTTTTAAAGAAGATAATTTGTATTTTTATAACAAAGAATTTGTATTTTTAAAGCAGAGAATTTGTATTTTTAGGTAAGATTTAATACATAAAACATTTGTGTTTTTAGTAAAGATTTAATACATAAAACACATACGCATGTGCTATACTAATCGTATTTTAAAAAACTAAAATCAGCTCTTTTCAAGGCCATATATATTTGTAATGTCGGAAGATCCGAAAAGCTATAATGGAAATAAATAAAAATAGATAGGTTAAATATTTTTTCGACCTTCCCCGGTTGATTATCACTGTTAAAGTAATTTTTATCAAGAAAGATTTTTATCAAGATTGCATGAAAAAAACATTAAAATTTAGAAAAAGCCTTATTATAAATAATTACCTAAAGAGTAATTATGTAGAATAGAGTCTTTTTCGAATTTCAACATTTTTTGGCTGTAATCTTAATAAAAATCTTTGTTATGATTCAGACAGTGATAATCAACCGGGGGAAATCGAAAAATATAATCTACTCATTTTTTAAATAATTTGTTTTCAATATAGCGCGGTCCATCCCTTCTGCCTAAAGGCGTTCGACTTTCCACGCGAAATGAGGTCCACCTCATCTTGAAAATTGTACGCCTCTAGGCAGAGGAGATGGGGTGAACTTCGCTTCACGCGACAAGTCGGACGTCCCTAGACAAGGGTGAAGCGGGGTGAATCTTGTTTCGCGTGAAAAGTCATTACGTAAGCAGGGATGGTGTAATTCTTAATATTGTATGTAGCAGAAATAAGACGTTTTTTAAAACTTTTTTTTGTTAATAACTTTTTAACGAGTAACGATCGTTAAAACTTCCTCAAGATCACTCAGGGTCATGACTTCGATAACATATGTCAAGGTCAAGGTCATTGGGGGAGGCTTCTCTTATCTCATTTTTACCATAAATAGTTAAAAAAAAATAGGTAGGTTATACATTCTTCGACCTCCCCTGGTTGATTATCACTATTTTTTATTTACTATATATTTTTTTTATTTTTACTCTGTATTCTGCTTTTGTATTTTCTTATTTTATTTTATTGTATGTAATTCATTGTACTTATGTATATAATTGTATGTATATAATTATCTTATATTACTTTATACTTTGTACTTTTTACTCTATTTTGTTTTGCTCTTACAGCAGAACAATCTATCTATCTGAGTCATAACAAAGATTTTTATCAAGATTGCAGCTGAAAAATGTCTGCTGAAAATTGAGAAAGGCTCTTTTATTCTACATAATTACCTGACAAAGTACTCTGTTATGACATAGGAATGATTTGTGTAGGATTAAAAGTGTTTTCATAATATTTTTTACGTAGTTGGAAATGTCAAATGTGAATCAAAACAAAGTAAAAACTTTTATAAATGGTAAATAATGGTAAAACATGTAATATCAACACCTGACATTTAAATAATAACTAAAATCATATTATTCCATGTCTTTAAATTATTCAAATATACTCGCGTGGTAAAAGCAAAGCCTTCATTTATGCTGACTTCTTGATAGACAGCGAAAATTAACGCATCAGAAAATAGCGTAACTTTATTGGCATTGTGAAATTCGCGGTTTGTCACGGAAAACGAAACGATCGGCACTGTACACAATCGTTATCGACGTGCAATGGTTTGTACAAAGTGACCGAAAAAGAAAAAGAGAAAAAGAAAAGGATAACAATAGCTGCTGAATAGAAAGTAAGATTGTGTGACGGAAAAAAAAATAGTAAGTCACGAGAAAATGAAACTTCCTTTTCCAGGTAGATAAGTCGTCGAGACACGTTCGTCATTATTGCAACGACGGAAATATCAACGGATCCATTATTTCCGATCCCTCTTTTTCTTATTTCCATAAAAGATCGTCCGAGTAAGACGCGATCGTCGGTCTCTTGTCGCAGTGTTGCTTCTCTACATGCTACACCGATTCTGAAATTTTAATTAATATTTTCCATTATTCATGGAAAGACTTCATTATATTTCGATACTTGATGCGAGAGTCGTGTCTTTGTCATTTATGATGAAAGACAAAAGATGACAGGAAGGCGAGAGCAAGACAGAATAGGGCAAAGAAAAAGAAAGGATAGAAGGGAACAGTTTGATGGAGAAAACCATCTTATTAGGTACATCTAAAACGTGAAGGGCACTTGAAGCATGAATTTATCGCACCAATGCGTGAATAAGTTTCGGACGGATAGTACCGCGTGAATCGAGTTCGTTACAGGGAGACGCGGTAATTGCCTTCCACCTCAGCCTTCCACCGACTACACCAGCCAAGTCGCGGGATGAGCGAAACTACAAAGAGACGATGGGCCGCGAATGGAAGGAGAAGGAATTGACTAGAACGGGAGAACGCTCTTGGAAACGATCGAGAATCTTGTGATTCCAATTAACCGATAACGAGCAAAAGTAATATCCCGGTTTCTTTTCTTCCGCCCTCTTCGGTCCCAGTCCTCCTCCCGTTCTTCCCATTCCTTCGCCGTATCGCGTTATGCTGTTTCTTTTCTCGAAGTAGATCGATTCCGCGGTCTACAATTCCGTGATGTTCGCGGGAATAAACGAAGAAAAGAAGTTACCATCCTCTCTAAACACATATATATATTATATATACAGAGTTTTGAGTCTTTTATTAACATTCTTGAATTAATTGAATTTGAAATGCGTTACTTCAGAATACCGATCGTGTAATTTTTTTTCTTGGGGCAAAAACTAAAAAATATAAATTTTTGCCATTGAAGTTAATGGAGAAATTTTTCACTTTTTACGTTTCCACGTTTTCTAGGGAAAAAGTTACATGATCGCTATCCTAACAAAAAATGTCGAAATAGCAATTGTTTTTAAATTATAAGAGAAGATCTAACTGAAATCCATTAAAAATCTACTAATCTATTAAAAATCTGAACAGAAATTTAAATCATTAGAATATTGAATAATTTAAAAATCTTTCTTTATACAACTTTAAATGAATTCTATTTTTATCAAAATTTAATTGATTAATTAATATAATATAAAAAAAATGTATGTATATGTTTAAGTTGGGAAATTTGGGGGGATTATTAATATTTCAGATTTGATTGCGTTGAAAGTCCGACAATCATATCGGCACGCAATTATAATTTCTGAAATTAATTCATTTAAATGAATTTAGAATAGTTCAATATCTTAACGTTCAGACCGTTAGTGGCGCTTCTTAGTTTAAAGTATTGTAGAGGTAATATAAGCGGTCTTCAATCTTATTATAAAAAAATGTGTTAAATAAAAAGTTGAAGATTATAACAAATTTTTATATTAAAGATTGTAAAAAAGAAATACGAAGATTTTGCTTTACGACAAAAGAAATCTGTTTAAGATTATACAATCCTGTATATGATAGTGGTACACGCACGACAGCGCATCAGTTTATATCGATGTACATCAGAACGTGCCAATAATTACTCCTGAACGAACATGAGAAGAGGGAAATAATTTATTACGTTAGTCAATCGTGATCCCGCAAAGGTTTATTCGCGCACCGAGAATCGTCCGCTTTGCAAAGTTTCTGCTCGAAGCTTATCTAAGTTATTGCTTAACGCTACGCAACATCGGTAATCGAGTAATAATTAATGGCATTCGTCCAACATGAGCTGAGCGAGAATTCGCTCGACGAACGTAGGCGAAATTCATGAGGTGTATGAATGCGCGTGAATTATTTACTTTGAAAAAGCTGCATGTTATAAGCGTTTTGCGATGCTTCCATACACGTGCACATACAATGGAAAGTTCGATAAACATGAAAAAGTATCATATAAAAATTGACGAATGTTGGACATAAAGTCGTCGTTTCAGTATATCGATGGACTACATAAGATTTGCCATCGG